GCCGGCCACCTTCAAGCGTGAGTCCTCGCCAATTTCATGCCCTGCAAATCCTTTCGGGAAGCACCCCGAACCCGATTTGGGCTTGACCAATGAACTCCCGGGATTTGAAGGCTATGAATGACTCAGTCAAGTGTCGAGACGTTAAAAACATCCTGTACTGGGACAGCAGAGCATCGACCAAGATTTATTTGAGACCCGCTTTTTGTTTAGCTCTAACTCGTCTGAGAAGTCTGAAACGTTCCCCCTTTAAAAACAAATGTCTTTGAAACAACTCTTCGGCATCGGGTAAACCATAAAAGTTTACACAGGGGGGTGAAATTGGCCCTAGTGAAGTTGGCGAGGTCTAGGCGTACCAAGTTCCTGCTCCGTGAAAGCTTCCCTTTCCACGGTACAGGTTCATGTACAGTAGACGACGAGTTCCATTGACTTCCTCCACCAATCAAACCCGCTCAGCTTTCCTACCGCGTGTGTTCCTTCCCTCCATAATTCCTTTTCCTTTTCTCTTCCCACTTCCCCCAACTTTCTTCCGTGATGCTCCTGTCACTATTTTCCGCAATAAACCTCGAGACTACTCCTTCCGCTGTCGCAGGGAGAGAATCTTTTACTGTACAGGCAGCTGAAAGTTAGGATACAACCGGCATTTCGATTTTGCAAATTACAGATTAGCGACGTGGCAGAGTTGTTGATTTCGTCCACATACATGCCACGGGAAACAAGAAGAAACGGTTGACTGAGGCACACGAGACGGACGGGGCAAATAGCACGGTTGTTCACTGCACAGCAGAAGATAAAATTCTGGTTAAATAGCACTGACCAGACCACAGCATCTGAGTCCATTTCTTTATTTTTAGCAATGGCAGAGCATAATCAGCTGTACAGGACTCAGAAATACAATGTGTCTGCATTGTAATCTGATGTCACAAAACAATCTTGAGAATCGAATACACTACAAGTGCAACGAATACCAGCCCTGCAGCTACTAGCATGACGAGCAGCATGTTGCATGTGTTGTCCGATCGGCGCATGAATATTGACATCTTCTTCTTAGCCAGCTGTAGAGTGTCAATCAGGGAGAGAGTGTGGCATTGAAACACGACATATGTGTCCCAGTCTTTAACTGAATTGTGGAAGAGAGAAAAGGAAAGCCGCAAAAGCGTCAAACGACAAGGGAAGGAGGAAGGGAGGGAAAGAAGAGAAAGATAGGAAGAGGGACCAGGAGGGTAGAGGGTGTGATAGAAGCAAAACGAGCAGCCCACCTGTACACGAGCATTTGTTGACTGAATGTTGTCATCCAAATCATCCTGCACACGTGCACCGGCAGCAAAGCCATTTCAAACACAAACACGTGGAAAAGGCTTCAGTCATTGAAAGTGCAGCCACAGCTTCAGCCAATAGAACCGCAACAAGTCAGCATAGCTGATTCTGCTGCAGCAAAGGCTCACTTAAATGCTCACAACGGTATCACGGTGATGCGTCAGTCATACAGTGCGAATGGTAGCAACGAGACGACAATGTAAAGAGAAAGCACATGCCAGCAGGTGTCGATGCAGGTCCAGCTCGCCGTTAATGGTGAGCGCTATGTGCTTGGTGGTTGCCACCGCTCGTGACGAGACATCTCATTACACTATCGGCAAGCACAAAGCACATACCAGCAGATGTCGATGCAGGTCCAGCTCGCCGTTAATGGTGAGCGCTATGTGCTTGGTGGTTGCCACCGTGGACTCCAGCTCCTCCAGCTCCGAGTCTTGCTCTGCTCCAAACAGCAAGTGAATAATGAAAAATAGAGAAGGTTCTTTTAACAAAAAGAAAGTGGCCACTCCCGTTGACTCTAAGGAGGCTTCACGTGACTGGATGCAATCGAGACACGAGCCAGGAAGTAGCACCTTGGCTAGGAGATTGGAAAAAAACTGACGACATGACGGCAAGTCTTCGGCAACATGCCTTGCATGATCTCTTGCTGCAGAGCCACGAGCCCCTTGTTGTCTCGCGAGGCTGTTCTCTCCGTCTCCACCGCCACCAGCGACCGCCCGTCACGGCCCAGCAGGGCTGACCTGCACGGTGGGGAAAGGGGAAGAAACGGAGGGTATGTGTCTGTCAACAACGCTCGCCTGTCAGAGCCTAGCCTGTCACAGCCTAGCCTCACAGCCTAGCCGGTCACAGCCTAGCCTGTCACAGCCTAGCCGGTCATAGCCTAGCCTGTCACAGCCTAGCCAGGCCAACCCGCACAGGAAAGGAAAAGAGGGAAAGAAAAGGAGGGTTCGTCCCTGTCATCAGCTGGCCTGTCAGGCAGCTGCCTCTGTGACCTGTGCACGACTGACTGGCAAAAAACTAAAGAGATAAAAGGCAGCACGCGACAGAGGCAGGACAAGACACAGGCGGACGTGACACGAGCAAGAAATTTAACCCCGCTTCTCATGCTACCGAAATTCGCAAGTCATGGCAGAGAATAAAACTCAGAAATACAAAAAAGGGAGGGGAGGAGGGGGCTGGAGGAGAAGGCGGGAGCGGGGGAGGAGAAGGGGGAAGAGGGGGGGGAGAAGGGCGAAGTGGGGGAGGAGAAGGGGGAAGTGGGGGAGGAGAAGGGGGAAGGGGGGGAGGAGAAGGGGGAAGGGGGGGGAGGAGAAGGGGGGAGGGGGGGAGGAAAAGGGGGGCAATACGCATCTTCAGGTTAGATCAAGGCGACGACGAACCTGTTAGCCGCTGATTGCGCGGAGGTGAGCACGGCTGCCATCTCCTTCGCCTTGAAGCGGAGAGCGAGAAGCAGGTCTTCCCGCCGCCGAATTTCCGTGGAGTTGCTGGGGGAGAGAGAGAGCGAGAGAAAGGGAGAAACAGAGAGAGCAGCTAAGACTAACGAAAGTCGGAACTCACGCCGTGTGTCTCGGAGGAATCACCAAGCCGCAGAATCTGCGGAAGAAGCGGTTTCACTATGACAAGAACGGTTTCACTATGACAGACCGCTAGCAGCTTGTCAATTCAACCACGCGCGTGCGTCGACTGTCACTATCATCAATCTTCTGCTATGTCTTTCAATGCCAAAAACTGCTGCTCGCCCGGTCTACAAGAAAAATAACCTGTCACGTAATACCTCTTCCAATAAACTTACAGTTGCGATTTCTCCGCTGCAGCTCGAAGTCCCGTTTCTAGACGGTCCGATTTCGCCATAAGCATAGCGATCTTTCGGCGAGCTGCAGCGACGAGGCGCGATGGATCTCCTTTAGATTTTATCGCGTCGTTTCTTTCCTGAATGAGTCCTGCCACGTCATCCGCCATCCTGGAGGCATCCTCGAACTCTCTGACCCACGGGTCCTGGAAGTGAGCCATGCTGATGCTGCTGCTGCTAACCCTAATGGAGCGAAAGGGGAAGAAGTCTAATTAACAACGAATCTCGACAACATTCGAATCCTATCAATCGTCTGTATGGGAAGTCGCAACTGCAAAAACGTCCTTGCAGTGTAACCAAGTTTGCCACGAGACAGTGGACAGTAGAAGTGGTGCCAAGGGTAAAACGGGTAAGGTCAGCAAGGATACTTCCTACAAACCGAAACCCTAACAGCCTGTTTCTTTGCTACTGCTGAATAATGCCTTCCCAAACAGCGTCTACGACACCAACAAGAGGAACACTGGGGCCAGTCGTAAAAGAGGGGAAACTATTTCTGAAAGACCTATGGCTGAGAAGAGAGCATACGTGTACTCTGCTGTTCTGGTTCGGTACGGAGAAGAGAAGAGGTAGGAAAAGCTTCTTGTCCCCTCCCCCTCTCTCTTCACTTCACCACTACCAACCAACCAAGCCACACATTCACATGATGCGAGCCTCCTTCCACTTCGCGATTGGCTGGACGCTTGCCTGCTTCCATTGCTGCAAGTTCTGCCCTGGGTTTGGTTGGGGGGGCTGTGCAAGTGGAAGACGCGAATCACCACACTGTAACGTACTGGACCGTCTAGAAAAGTACATTTGTTACACTTCTGAACCACAACTTCTGACAACATGAATCCTTGGGACTGGGCTGGATACTCTTTCTTGTGCTATTGAACTCGTTGACAGTTCGCTGATGACATATAGTGGGACAGTAATCGCACATGACGGCTGCGAAACTCGTATGGCCGTCAGCGACAAGAATTATGCTGTCAGTCGACCACCTTCCACTCAGATCAGATTTGTGAACCTTCACCTAAACAAGGAATTTATTCTACAATGCTGAGAATTTGTAGAGCATACAATTCCACCAGGTACATCCTTCGTTGACCCACGTATATCACCTTATTCAGCTCCAATCTACACCAGAGGACAATGAGCATACAATCAGCATTGAACAATCAGTCACTAGCAGCAGCATCTACATAGCTTGCCCACCATCCTGTAACATATTACTTAAAGCTTAGCCATTGAAGACGCTCCCTTCGGTGCTCCCTGCAAGATGCAGAAACCAGGCGCATAATGATTCCAACCATACGCCATAAAAGTGCAAAGAAAGAAGACAAAGAAAAAAGGAAAGAAAATCACAAATAAGGACTTTCATCAATGAATCCAACAATGCAGCGACTGTTTTCACTCACCAGCTTGACGCCTCGAGCTGCTCGCTCAAGCAAGTAGTTGCAAGGCTTGAAGAAGCCTCCGTAGGCCTGTGACCATGTGGTGAGGCGATCCGCAATGTACTTTGCCCCAACCAGATCAGCCCAGAAGACCAGGCCACCCCTGGAAGCCAGAAAGGGCAAAAACAATAACAATAGGAGGAAAAATAATATTACAAAAGCTGAGCATGACAGCATATAGACGAGCACTGCAGGATCGAACTCAAACATAACAAAGCACCACTGGGAAAATGGGGTTCGTAGCAGAAACCATGGATGCACAAAACAATGAATCGGGGTGCATGCCTACAACAACAGTACAGCCCTACACACTCACCAAGACGAAGGGAGGGAATATCTACACTCGTCCAACCACCTGTAGGGAGGAGAGCCAGTCTCTCACTGGCCACTAGATGTCACCACACACTCACCGGTAGGGGGGGAAGCCCATGGACATGACCGTAGCAATGTCGAGATCCGAAGCGCGCACCACGATGCCCTCGTCCAGCACACGGCACGCCTCGTTCACCACGGGGAAGAAGATCATCTCCACGATGTCCCTGTCAGATACTGCCACGGGCTTGCCGCCCGCCTTGATGTTGTTGTACTTCCCTGCCTGCTCCACAAACTCCTTGATCGCCGGGTCCGGGCGCTGCCGCCTGTTGCTGTCGTAGAGATAGAAGCCCTTGCCTGACTTCTCCCCTGCTCATGCAGGAACGAGATGATGGGAAACAAACAAACAAACAAACAAACAAACAAAAACAAAACAAAACAAAACAAAACAAAACAGAACACAAAACAAACCAAAACAAGCTCTACTTTGGGCTGACCAAGATCAGAAAGAACGAACAACCTGTGGCAGTGGCACAATGAACGGCAAAAGACAGCCGAGAGAATAACCGTGCATGGAGTCCTGAAGCTTGCAAAACGAAGAAAGGCTTGCGAACCAGGTGTGCAGGGAGCCTTACCAAAACGTTTGGCCTCAACCAGGAGCGGGATGAGTGCAGCCTTGTAGGCCCGCTCAGGGAAGGCAGTGACGAACTGCGTCCCCACTGCCTGCCCCACTTGCATTCCCACCAGATCAGCCAGCCTGTGACAGAGCACCATTGGTCGCAAACGCCATAACAATACCATAACAGGGAGCACTCAGGTTGGGATGAGAAACAACATAATCTCGATGTAAGCCAATAGCTGACAGGGAATGCGAATGCAAACACGGATTCAAAGGCAAGGCTTGGTCACCTGAACGGTCCCATGGGCATGCCGAAAGCCTTGATGACCCGGTCAATCCGGTAGAGGTCCACCCGTAAGTCCACGAGCAGGCAGGCAGGCCGCCATGGTGTAGCGGAAGAACACGCGGTTGACTGCCTTACTGGTTACAGCCTTACAGATACGGAACACCAAGGGAGGAAGGGGCGGAATCACCTGAAGGGTCCCATGGGCATGCCGAAGGCCTTGATGACCCGATCAATCCGGTACAGGTCTACCCCCAGGTCCACGAGCAGGCAGGCGGCCATGGTGTAGGGGAAGAAGACACGGTTGACAGTAAATCCTGTGCAGTTGCCCACCACCACGGGCGTCTTCTTGATGTTCTTCCCCAGAGTGATGAGGTCAAGGATGGCCTGCGGGGAAGTTTTGTCTGTGCGAACCACCTCTAGTAGCGGCATCACGTGCGCAGGGCTGCGCGGGGTCGGCGTGAGAGGGGGAGAGTAGGAGAACAGAAAAAGATATAGACTGGTTAGTTCATTCGAAGAGCCCGTGCAGTTGCCCACCACCACGGGCGTCTTCTTGATGGTCTTGCCCAGGGTGATGAGATCCAGGATGGCCTGCGGGGAGGCCTTGTCCGTGCGAACCACCTCCAGCAGCGGCATCACGTGGGCAGGGCTGGAGTGGTTAGAGGGGAGGGGAGAGCAGGAGAGCATATGGAGGCTTAACGATGGCAAAAAGGAGCACTGAGAGTTGAAACTGTGCGGAGGACCTCCAGCAGAGGCAGCTCATGGGCAGGAGGACTGAACTGACCGACAACAAATGTTCAGGGGTTGGGGTGTTCGGGAAACAAGAGTTGGGGTGTTTGAAGGGTTGGCTTTGCCTTGCCTGTAAAACGCCATCTCAGCGATGAGTATTGGACCAGGAGCTGCCAACATGCATCCCCCAGACCACAACAGGTACACGCACACAGGTACGCTGAAAATCGTACAGGCTCTCTGATTGACGCAGCTCCTGAATACCTGAAGAAGTGTGCGCCAATGATGCGATCCTGTTTTGAGACCTCCCAAAGCTCGATTATGAGACATATAGAGATTAGTTTGAAACGACTTAAAATCCTGCATACCTGAAGAAGTGTGCACCAATGATACGATCCTGGGAGCGTGTCTTGGCTCCAACGACGTTGAGATCGATGGTTGATGTGTTGGACGAGAGGATGCATGCAGGCTTGCACACCCTCTCCAGATCCTGGAAGATCTGCTGCTGCTACTGACACCATGAGGGCAAATCCACAGCAGCATACCTTGCAAATCCTCAGCACCATACCTTGCATGATCTCTTACTGCAGGGCCACGAGCCTCCTGTTGTCTCGCACGTCACAAAATCAGGAATACCTGAAGAAGTGTGCGCCAATGATGCGATCCTGGGAGCGAGGCTTGGTGCCAACGACGTTGAGATCGATGGTTGACGTGTTGGACGAGAGGATGCATGCAGGCTTGCACACCCTCTCCAGGTCCTGGAAGATCTGCTGCTTCTACTGACAGCATGAGGGCAACTCCTCAATAGCATACCTTGCAAATCCTCAGCAAATCCTCAGCAGCATACCTTGCATGATCTCGTACTGCAGGGCCACGAGCCCCCTGTTGTCTCGCACGTCACAAAATCCGGATTACCTGAAGAAGTGTGCGCCGATGATGCGATCCTGGGAGCGAGTCTTGGCGCCAACAACGTTGAGATCGATGGTTGACGTGTTGGACGAGAGGATGCATGCAGGCTTGCACACCCTCTCCAGGTCCTGGAAGATCTGCTGCTTCAATGGGATGCTCTCAATCACAGCCTGCATCAGAGGAGAATGCACATAGGGATTGTACTTTTCGTTGTTGAGATGTCTCAATACGCGCAGGCTTGCACACCCTCTCCTGGTCCTGGAAGATCTGTTGCTTCAACGGAATGCTCTCAATCAAAGCCTGCATAACAGAAAGATGCATGTGAGAACAAAATATTTATTTTTTCGTGTACCTTTCAGATGATTACTGCTGTCTACTTTTGGGGCTGTGCAGCAGATATGATCAAGTTGTTAGCTCTTCCCTGTTTCACCTCAATAACCAGATCCACGTCAGCGAAATCGTCGTAGGAGAGCGTGCCTTTGAGGAGTGACATAATCTTATCCACCTGCTCCTGTGTCATCCTCCCCTTCTTTAGCCTGCCTTGGAAATTCGCTGCCACCAAAAGAGAGAGAATAAAGAAGAGGATATCAATACCTCAAAACAAGGCCGATTCCGATGCAACCAGCACCCATCAGATAACCGATGCAAATGGAAGTGGAAAGACATGAATCAATGCTCACCCTTGACACGGTCCAGCCCTTAGTTGGCATTTTATGTTTACGGGGGTTTACGAGTACGTGCCTTTACGTAGTAAACTTACGTTTACTTACATGGGCAAAAAACGGCTTTACGTTTACGGTCAGCCAGAAACATTTCTGGCTGCCCGGAAAGATAAGAACTCATCGGACTAAGTGGCTTTATGGGAAGCGCCTAATCAATCACTAGCTTGGTTCTTTTATGCCCAAGCATGTTAGCACATTATCACATCATCTTACAGATGGCCCACATCTACACCGACATGTCACAGCCTCTCCCACCTCATATCAGTCAGATTTTTCCATTTCACAGACAAAAAAGCTTTCTTTGCCCTGCCCGTGCGACTTTACGTAAACTTTCGCGTAAGAAAACGTAAAGGTAAACTCATACGTAAGTTTACGTTTACGTGACCCTAAAAAACGTAAAGGACCAACTAAGGTCCAGCCCTTGCTGGAGAAACTGGGCATTGACCTCCTTGAGGATGACTTGAATCTTGGCCGTGATGAGTGCAGTGATGATCGCATGACACAGAAGGCAGCATGTGTGACAAAGGAAAATGGAGACAAGCTAGCATGCTCATAGCTCACCCTTGACACGGTCCAGTCCTTGCTGGAGAAACTGGGCATTTACCTCCTTGAGGATGACTTGAATCTTGGCCGTGATGAGCGCGGTGACGATCCCAGAACCCATCAACCCCCCTCCAATCACTGCCACCTTGCGAAGGGGTCGAGGCTTTAAACCGCGGTCTGTGACTCCAGGAATTTGAACAGCACAAATTCGTTAACATGCCATCCAAATTCGTTAGTATATCATCCAGATTCTTTAATTGATATTTGGACTTTCCTTCCTCCAATTCCTGAAGTGTTGATCCTCAGTACAATACAGCAGGTTCAATGCTACCAATTCATCGGCACTCAACGTTTGCACTGCACAGCAACGTACCTTAGTGGTTTGCCTCTGGGCGAAAAAGATATGTGTCAGGGACTTGGCGGTGTCAGCAAGCACAAGTTCCAAAAAGACCTCCTCTTCCTGCAACATGAAGACAAAATATTAGCTTCAATTTCCCATATGTCTCACACATTGTAATACAACGGTGACGTGGCAGTGACACTTGAAGTGTTCCTGTGCTTCAGAGGATCTCACCTTGAGATTGCCGGCGTACCCTCCATGGGTGACGCCATACTCCATGGCGTCCAGGCACCGCAGCGGATGAGTCAGGTTAGGAGCCGTCTGAACCGCCTGAGCCCTGGCGAACTTGAAAATGGCTCGAGCCTCGCCCAGGCTCTCAATCCTATCGTTCCTCTCCAGCGTCTTCAGCCATGGTTTCCTGCCGCTGGCAATATCCAGAGCCCACGCCTTGGCGGTGGTCAGCAGGGCATTGCTTGGAACAATCTGATCAACCAGACCGGCTTTGAGTCCCGCTTCAGACGTGATAGGCTTGGACATCTGGGACCAAAAGGGAGGAAAAAGGCATCAGAACGAATGCAAAACAAAACGTAATGTTTCTGCTGTCAGAACATTATAGCTCATGCATATTGTGTAGGCTATAGTGGGGTAGCCCATAAGGGGTACAACCCAATTAGGGTTATTACTTGTACCCAATTCATTCATAGTTCATTCATTTCCTTGTTTCTTCTCATGGTATCGAGCAGGTTCCCCCGTGGGAACTGTTCCTAGGGCCCACCGTTTTTTTTCCTGCCCGGAGCGCACTCAGCCCCTGCCCGAGTCGCGCTCCCCTCTCTCGCGCCGCCCTAGCGGCCCCCCCCCCCTTCGCGCCGCCCTCGCGGCCCCTTCGAGCCGCCCTCGCGGCTCTATCCGCCGCCCTTCGCGGCCCCTACTCCGCCGCCCTCACGGCCCCGATCCGCCGCCCTTGCGGCCCCGATCCGCCGCCCTCGCGGCCCCGCTCTGCCGCCCTCGCGGCCCCGATCCGCCGCCCTTCGCGGCCCCGATCCGCCGCCCTCGCGGCCCCGCTCCGCCGCCCTCGCGGCCCCGATCCGCCGCCCTTCGCGGCCCCGATCCGCCGCCCTCGCGGCCCCTACTCCGCCGCCCTCGCGGCCCCAATTCGCCGCCCTCGCGGCCCCGATCTGCCGCCCTCGCGGCCCCTACTCCGCCGCACTCGCGGCCCCTACTCCGCCGCCCTCGCGGCCCCGATCCGCCGCCCTCGCGGCCCCGATCCGCCGCCCTAGCGGCCTCCGGCCCCTGCTCCTACGGCCCCGGCGCCTGCTCCTACGGCCCCCGCTCCTACTACTACGAGCAGCCCACCCGCCGAGCCGCCCAGCAACCGAGCAGCCCAGCCGCTGAGCCGCCGAGCCGCCCAGCAACCGAGCCGCCCAGCCGCCGAGCCGCCCAGCAGCCGAGCCGCCCAGCAGCCGAGCCGCCCAGCAGCCGAGCCGCCCAGCCGCCGAGCCGCCCAGCCGCCGAGCCGCCCAGCAGCCGAGCCGCCCAGCAGCCGAGCCGCCGAGCCGCCCAGCAGCCGAGCCGCCCAGCCGTCGAGTCGCCGAGCCGCCCTGCAGCCGAGCCGTCCGAACCGCCCTGTCCGGTAAGAGCAGCGCCTCTCTCACAGCACTGCCCTCACCCTACTGTTTGCACTGCTAGTCTACTACTGTCATGGCTACCCCTAGTGTCCTCGCTTTTGACGCTGAGGGTCGGGCCATTGACTTTGACGTCTGGATAGATGACCTGCAGCTTTTCTTACAGTGCGACAGAGCAGACGGCCTCTCCCTCTTTGACCTCACTTCTGGTGCCTCTCCTGCCCCCGCTGCTGATGCTGACGCCACTGTTCGCTCACAGTGGGCCACGCGCGATGCTGCTGCACGTCTTGCTGTGCGTCGCCACCTACCTACCTCTGAGCGTGCGCACTTTAGCCAGTACAAGAGTGCTCAGACCTTGTACGACGCTGTAGTTGCACGCTACTCCTCCCCTGCCACTGCTGCACTGAGCCGCCTCATGCTACCGTACCTCTTCCCTGACCTTGCTGCCTTTCCCACAGTCGCTGACCTCATTACGCACCTCCGCACTAGTGACACTCGCTACCGCGCTGCGCTTCCTCCTGAGTTCTGCGCCAAGAACCCCCCCCCCATGTACATCACCCTCTACTACATAGTCACCCGTCTCCCTGACTCCCTTCGCATAGTCAGGGACCACTTCCTCTCGGTTTGTCCCACCACTCTCACCGTTGACCTCCTCGAGAAGGCCCTCCTAGCAGCAGAAAAGAGCATAGTCGCTGTAGGAGCCTCTCGTGGTGACCCTCGCACCCCCATCTTTGAGGGGTGTTCCCCCTCCCCTCTTTTGCCCTCTGTTGCCTCTGCTGCTGCGGCCGACCTCGCTGGTTTGGAGTCGGTTGGGGCAGCGTCTACCCCTAGCGGGAGACGCCGCCCTGGCAGGGGCAAGGGGGGCAGGGGCGCTGGAGGAGCTAGCGGGGGCGGTGGAGGCGGCGGTGGAGGCGGTGGAGGAGGTGGGGGTGGCGGTGGGGGTGGTGGCGGGGGTGGAGGTGTAGGTGGCGGCAGTGGAGGCGCAGGCGGCAGCGGCGGTGGCGGAGGGAGCGGAGGTGGCGGCGGTGGAGGAGGAGGTGGCGGAGGAGGTGGAGCTGGTCGGGGTGGCGCTGCGCAGAGGGTCAGCTCCGGTGGTGGTCAGCGCCAGCAGCAGCAGCGCACTCGTGACGTCCCCTCCCCTCAGCAGCTCCGTGAGTGGTACACTGCACGCCAGAGGGGTTGGGGTACTGGTCCGTGCACCTACGTCCTGCGCACCGGCGACCGCGCGGGTGAGCAGTGCGGGGGTGCGCACTCCACCCAGCGCTGCTTTGGCCGCCTGACGGACGCTTGGCGTCACCAGTTCCCTGAGGCCACTGAGATCCCCCGCTGGGGTGAGCTGTCTAGGGCGGGTGTGGCTGTCTTTGACCTTGATTTTGATGCTATTCTTGCTGCCATGTATACTGTGACTATTAGTGATGAGGGTGACTGTTACCGGTGTTTTCCGCCCGACCCGGGCATTGAGACTGCTGCTCTAGGTCCTGGTGAGGCTGCTGCTCTAGGTGCTCGCGAGGCTGCCGCTCTAGGTGCGTCTGCTCCCTCAGGTACTGGTGAGTCTGCTCTCTCAGGTTCTGCGTCGGCTTCGGCCTCCCACACCTTTACCCTTGACTCGGGGGCTTCTCGCTCCTTCTTTCGAGACCGCACCACACTCACGCCGCTTGACCGGCCAGTTGCGGTCTCTCTGGCAGACCCCTCTGGGGGTCCTGTCCTTGCTCACTTCTCCACTGTCCTCCCGTGTCCGGCGGCCCCCTCTGGCACCCTGTCTGGTCTTTACCTCCCCTCGTTCTCTACGAACTTGGTGAGTGGTGCTGACCTACAGGATGCGGGGGTTCACCAGTTCACTCCTGCGAGTCAGCGGGTGACCCACTGCACGGACGCTCGGACAGGCCGACACCTGGCCACGTTTACACGTCGGCCGGGGTCGAGCCTGTACACACTGACCACTGCGTCTCCTCCGGTCCTTGCGTCTGGTCAGGTAGCTGCGTCGGGTCAGGTGTTTGCTGCAGCGTCCAGGTCTGGTCCTGAGTCTGCCCCCTGCTCGTGTCGCCTCCTGTCTCACGAGACTCTCCTCTGGCACCACCGCCTTGGTCACCCCTCCCTGCTTCGTCTCCGGAGCATGGCCTCCCGTGTCCTTGTCTCTGGTCTTCCCCGGTCCCTCCCTCCACTTCCTCCGGGGCCTGGCCCTACCTGCGTCCCCTGTGTCGAGGGACGACAGCGGGCTACCCCTCACTCCTCCCAGTTTCCTCCGACAGAGGCCCCGCTGCAGACGCTTCACATGGACGTGTGGGGCCCGGCCCGCGTCCGTGGACAGGGTCACGAGCTCTACTTCCTGCTGGTGGTTGACGACTACTCGCGTTACACCACAGTCTTCCCCTTGCGCAGCAAGGGTGATGTCACTGAGGTGTTGATCGACTGGATCCGCGCAGCTCGTCTCCAGCTCAGGCGGAGCTTCGGCTCGGACTTTCCTGTTCTGCGTCTGCACTCTGACAGAGGCGGAGAGTTCTCCTCTGGCCTTCTGCGAGCCTACTGTCGTGCACGAGGCATCCGCCAGACCTTCACGCTTCCGGACTCTCCACAGCAAAATGGGATTGCTGAGCGCCGCATTGGCATGGTTATGGACGTCACCCGTACGTCCATGATGCATGCGGCTGCCCCCCATTTTCTGTGGCCGTTTGCGGTTCGGTACGCGGCGCATCAGATCAACCTTCAGCCCAGGGTCTCCATGCCGGAGACCTCCCCAGCTTTGCTGTGGACGGGGAAGGTTGGCGATGCGTCTGCGTTCCGTGTCTGGGGATCTCGGGCGTTTGTCCGCGACTTGTCTGCGGACAAGCTGTCCCCCCGTGCTGCTCCTTGCGTCTTCCTGGGTTTCCCCCCTGACGCCCCAGGGTGGCAGTTCTACCACCCCACCTCTCGCCGTGTTCTGTCCTCCCAGGACGTCACGTTCGACGAGTCGGTCCCCTACTACCGCCTCTTCCCCTACCGCACTCCGTCCCTCCCCCCGCCACCTCTCTTCCTGGTACCAGGTCCCCCCCCGGTAGACCCCCTCCCCCCTCAGGGTCCTGCCCCTTCAGGTGTGTCCCAGGTAGACGCCGTTGAGCCTGTCGAGGTCGCTGGTGACTCTGGTGCTGCTGAGGGTGCTGAGCCTGGGAGTGCTGACTCTGGGGGTGCTGAGCGTGTGGGTGCTACGCCTGGAGGTGCTGAGCCTGGGGGTGCGGAGCCTGAGGGAGCTGGGCCTGTTGGTGCTGTGCCTGGCGGTTCTCCGGGTGCTTCTTCTCGCCGGGAGCCACTCTCTCCACAGGAGCTGCGTGAGTGGTTTGCCCGGCGCTGGAGGCGAGCTGCTGGAGCTGGAGGAGCTGCGGGTACTGGAGTTTCTGTTGCTGCTGAGGGAGCTGGTGCCACGGGTCCCGGAGGTGCTCGTACTGGGCGTACTGGAGCTGCTGGACCTGCGGGTACTTCTGGAGCTGGAGCTGCTGCGGGTGTTGGCGCGGAGGCTACTGCTGTCGGTCCTGGAGGCGGTCCTGCTGGGGGTACTGCTGGTGCTGCTGGGGGTACTGGAGCTGGAGCTGCTACTGGTGCTGGTGCTGCCACAGGGGGTGCTGGTGCTGTCCCTACTGTGTCAGGAGTCGCCGCGCGGCCTCGGCCGTACTTCGTTCCGCTCCTTCAGCAGGTTCTTGGTCTCCCGTCTTCTACTGGTCCTCCTCCTCCCTTAGAGTGTCCACAGCCTGTCCCGTCGCAGTTACAGTTACAGCCGGCCTCCCCACTGCCTGCTCCGTCTCCCTACACTGGTCCTACTGGAGGTCTTGCTGAGCGTCGTGAGCCTGCGTCTCGCCCTGCGTCGCCTGTCCGTGCTGCTCGCACTAGTGGTCGTGGTTCGCGTCAGCGTCCTCCTCCTGTCCCTGGCACGCACCGGATGTCTCTGCGTCCGTCCACTGCTCCTCTGCGTGCCCCTTTGCCTTCTCCTCCTGAGTCTTCTCTTCCTGCTCTTGCCGACCCGGAGTCGGACTCTCTTCGTGCTGCCAGTCCTACTGTCACGCGTCTCCTTGCTACTGTTGTCACTGACCCTTCCTTTGAGTCCACTGCTGCGTCTGCCCTAGTTGCTGAGCTCGTCGACTTTGCTGCTCGCTGTCGCCTAGACTACGTCGCCAGTCTTGTTGCTGAGTCTGAGTCTGTCTGTCCTCCGTCCGTCGGGGGTGAGTGTGCCCTTGGCACGGACGTCCTTGAGGACAGGCAGGAGGAGTTCCAGTGCTTGGCCGCTGCTTCACCTCATCTCGTGTCCGTACTGCTTACCCCTGAGGGAGACCCGGATGCACTTGACATCCCGACTCCGCGCTCTTACGCGGAGGCGATAGAGGGTCCCTACTCCTCTCAGTGGCAGGCAGCTATGGACGCAGAGATGGCTTCCTGGAAGTCCACAGGCACCTACGTTGATGCTGTTCCCCCTCCTGGGGCGAACATCGTCAGTGGCATGTGGATTTTCAGGGTGAAGCGGCCGCCGGGTTCTCCGCCTGTCTTCAAGGCGCGTTACGTGGCTCGAGGCTTCAGTCAGCGGCAGGGAGTTGACTACTTTCAGACCTTCTCTCCCACCCCGAAGATGACCACTCTTCGGGTACTGCTGCACGTAGCTGCTCACCGTGACTACGAGCTACACTCTCTTGACTTCAGCACTGCTTTCTTGCAGGGCAGCCTGCACGAGGAGATCTGGCTGCGTCGCCCACCTGGTTTCACTGGGTCTTTTCCTCCTGGCACCCAGTGGAGCCTACGGCGGCCAGTCTACGGTCTCCGCCAGGCACCGCGTGAGTGGCACGACACACTGAGGACTACACTTGCGGCTCTTGGGTTTGCTCCCTCTACTGCCGACCCGTCGCTGTTTCTGCGCACTGACACTTCTTTGCCGCCGTTCTACATCCTCGTGTACGTCGACGACTTGGTCTTTGCCACAGCTGACACTGCTGGACTCGCCCACGTGAAGTCCGAGCTGCAGAAGAGACACACGTGCACTGACCTGGGTGAACTGCGCAGCTACCTTGGCTTGCAGATCACTCGGGACAGAGCACGCCGCACCATTACCCTGACTCAGTCACACATGGTGCAGCAGGTCCTTCAGCGCTTCGGCTTCACGTACTCCTCGCCTCAGGCCACTCCTCTGCCTACTCGCCACTCGCTCTCAGCTCTGCCTTCGGATGAGTCCGTAGAGTCGAGTGGCCCGTACCCAGAGCTTGTTGGCTGCCTCATGTACCTGATGACCTGCACACGACCTGACCTTGCATACCCTCTTAGCATTCTCGCACGCTATGTTGCTCCTGGGAGACACAGACCGGAGCACATGGCTGCAGCGAAGAGGGTGTTGCGCTACTTGTGCAGTACATCGGGCATGGGGCTTGTGCTTGGAGGGCAGAGTCCAGTGGTCCTTACTGGGCACGCAGACGCTTCTTGGGCTGACGACCAGGCTACGCAGCGGTCGTCACAGGGTTACACCTTCAGCCTTGGTTCCGGCTCTGTTTCGTGGCGGGCTACTCGCTCGTCTTCTGTTCTCGGCTCCAGTTGTGAGGCTGAGATCTACGCAGGAGCCATGGCTGCACAGGAGCTTCGCTGGCTCACCTACCTGCTGACTGACCTCGGAGAGCCGCCTCGTTCTCCTCCAGTGCTGTACGTAGACAACAAGGCCATGCTGGCCTTGTGTCGGGAGCAGCGACTGGAGCACAGAACGAAGCACATTGCTCTCCGCTACTTTCTTGCTCGTGAGCTGCAGCAGCGTGGTCAGCTGCGTCTTGCGTACGTGGCCTCTGAGGCCAACACTGCTGATATCTTCACCAAGGCGCTTGCGCCTTGTGACCATCAGCGCTTCTGTACTCAGCTGGGCCTTGTGCCTACCTTGCCTCACTTGCTCACCTCTTGACCGTGCTTGTACTGTTACATATATATATACCTGCTCTTGCTTGTCTAGCCTTTTTACATATATGTACTCCTGCATGTGAACTGGCCTTGTGGCCTTGAACTTGTGCTCGGAATGTGTGGTGACTTTGTGATCCACCCTGAGCTTGCTTTGCTTTGCTTTACTTGACTGGTCTTGTGACCCCTTGTTCTCCCCCACTTTGCCTATGGGGGTGTGTCAGAACATTATAGCTCATGCATATTGTGTAGGCTATAGTGGGGTACTCCATAAGGGGTACAACCCAATTAGGGTTATTACTTGTACCCAATTCATTCATAGTTCATTCATTTCCTTGTTTCTTCTCATCTGCTGGAAAATGCTGAAGGGACTCACCAGGATCATTTCGATTGCCTTTTGCAGGCCAACCAGGCGAGGCAAACGCTGTGTGCCTGGATACAACCAGCAAACCGATACACAATGTCAGGAAAACCTTTCCTTACGACGGAGACTTGCAAATTACAAAACAGAAGGCAGCAACACCAACAGCATCAGAATCATACAGATAGGTGGTCATGCATAGGTGGTCAAGCATAGGCCAGCCGATCCTTGCATCTGCAAACATGGACCAGTACCTCCGAATCCAGGAATGATGCCGAGCTGCAGCTCTGGAAGCCCCAGCTGAGCCTTGGGTGCAGCGATTCTTGCATGACACGACTGACATTGGAAAAGACAGAGAACAAAAAAACAATCGAATCTGTTAATGAGTGTGCGAGTGTGTTTTTTCATAGGAATATGACTGTGCTTCACAATGTTATACGATCTAGAGTGATGACGTGCGTACCAGTGCAAGCTCCAAGCCACCGCCTAGAGCAAGACCCTCAACGGCCGCCACGACTGGCTTTGAACCACCTGCATAGGGCAGCACTGACATGTGTGAGTATTTGTGATTATGACACATTCTATTTCATATTGAAATGAAATGTTGAGAGCTGGGTACCTTCAATGGTCTCCACGAAGAGTGGGACTGACGGCCTGACCATCGAGTCCATGTTCCCTGTAACGGAAACAACCAGCACACAAAAACCACAGGAACGAGTCACTGACCAACTCGAATTGCAGAAGGCTTGAGCGCGAGAAGCACTAAGAGGCAAAGAAACAATACCATTTTCCTGGACTGCAACAATCGCCGAGATGTCGAAACCTCCTGAGAACTTGCCATTAGTCCCTGAAACAGCAAGCCACAGAAACGAACCAGAGTGAGCTACTTCCGGACAAATGAGTTATGCTAAACTAGTTTCGACGACTTAAGGAGGACGTGCAGAAAGGGTTGATTCGCAAATTACCAGTTACGACAATGGCTTTCACGTCGTTCCTCCGGTGCGCCTCGTCGAACGACACCTTCAAACCGAGTAGGACTGCAGACAAAATCAATAGGTTAGAATACTGAAGATGAATCGCGCATCCTTAATAATAAACTCCACGATCCTGGTTCACAGAACCACTAATACCTTCTGGTGCGAGAGCATTGACAGGAGGGTTGTGAATTTCAATAACAGCCACTCCATCCGAGCCCACGGTGAGCTTAACCTTTGGCGTCGCCATTACGAGCGGTCCGATGCGCACTACTCGCAACTTTTGATCAAAATAAGAACGCCTAGAAAACCTCGTGTGTGTGGGCAAAAGCAGCTGGTAGAGCAGAGAAATTTGGTCTAACCGGAAACGGAAGCTCGGAATGAGGGTGAAGCGAATGCTTGATGACAGGAGTAGGCAAGAATATTTGCTCCTTGATGTTGGCGGTTTCATTTCCACGTCAGATGAGGCTGCTGTGTCCCAGGGACATGTCAGTGTGGGCCGTGCTGACGTGGGGAGGAAACAAGCTGACGAGAATGGTCCCATTGTTTGCCCAACCAATCCCACCGACATTGAAGACGAAAGAAACATATTTTCGACGCAGCCAGTTCAGCTACAAATTGCTATAGCGCCACAGAAAGTTCTCCATAAAGCGTACACAAGTTTGTAGACACGTGGCACGAATGTTGCTTCAAAATTCCTCCTTCAAGCCGCGCGCAACTAAAATCGAGGGACATGCGGCGCGCTGCTTCCTTGGTCCCTACCCCATCCAATCTATTGAACCCCACGAAAACTCCATTTCACAATCAAGCTGCGAGGAAAGCACAAACAAAACGCAAGGCCCCTTTTTTGCAACCTCGAAGTTTCAAAATCAAGCATGACTTTTGAGAGGACTTGGTTCACGCAGCCACTCGCCGACACCAAGGTCACCTCACCATACATTTTGACATGATTGAATTAGGGAGGCAGTTTTTCCGCTCTCTACTATTGGACTCGGAGCAACAATTTTCTCATAGCCCTATCGATCTTTAGGACCCTCCGTAATTGGGGCTGCCGTTGTATACTATAAGGAAAATAGGGGAGCATCTGTTTGACTCGGTATTTAATATCGAGCCAAAGAGGTGGGCTTAATTGGGAAGGGTACGGAGGCTAGCCGATCAAGCCAGATGGGGAAACGAACGACGGTCATCGTAAAGAAGCGTCCGAACGAGATGGCGATACCGCAGCCCGCTGCCGCATCGAGAATTGACACTATAAGCGCCCCCCTGAAGTTGGATAGTGGGCCGAGGCGTGGGTACACCCGCAAGAAGGACCGTGTTTCTGAATTCGAGAGACAAGGTGTGGCGAAGAAGCTGAAGATCGCACCCGTAGCTAGTAACGAGGACGCGGATAACGGAAAAGCTCTGGTGGTTTTCGAACCCAAGGGTCCAGAATCAGCGGGTGCCGGAGGGGAGGAGTCGTGGGCTAAAACCTCGGACAATTTCCATAAATCGACAGCCGAAGTCTCAGAACGGAGGGCTCGAAAAACTTCGAGAATGGATGCGAAGAAGGAGCCGCTGGGTGAAGAGTCTCCCTTAGCCATTATACCTTGGGAAGGATCGAGGCGAGAGTCGGGCAGGGCGGTGCGAGAGTCGGGCAGGGAGCTGCGCATGCTGCACTCGCACTCGTTATTGCGAACGAGTTCGTTTCAAGAGGATGTGAGGCGCGGGGCCATGGAGCTGCGCAAGCTGCACTCGTTTACGTTACTTAAAAGGAGTGAGTTTACAGCGGAGATTGAGGAACTGGCGGGAGGAGGAGACGAGACGACGAGGATCACGCGCGCTGCGAGAAGGAAGGCTGTGGACGGGAAAGGAGGTGGAGGAGCCGGTGGAGGAGCAGGTGGAGGCGCAGGTCGAGGAGCAGGTGGAGGCGCAGATCGAGGAGGGGGAAGCGGTGAAGGGGGAGGAAGTGGGGAAGCTTGTGAGGCTGGTGAAGGAAGAAGAATCATCGGTGAAGGAAAAAACAGTGGGGGAGGAAAGGGAAGTGGAGGAAGAGGTGGAGCAAGTGGGGGTGGAGGTGGAGGGAGGGATGAAGGAGGTGCGGATCCGATCCGAAGTGGTGAAGGTGGCTTCGAGGGAAACATTATCACTACTGAGGGCAAGCCGGTTGGGAGTGGTGAGGGCGGGTTCAAGAAAAGCACTACTACGAGCGAGGGCAAGTCGGTTGGGAGTACTGGAGCTAAAGGAGTGAGGGCAGGAGAACGAGAGTATGGGAAGGGGATCAATAAGGGGAGGGAGCAGGGGAAAAGAAGGGGGAAGGTGAAGGAGGAAGAGGATGGAGAGGGGGTGGGTAAGGAAACGGTAACGGGGCGGAGAAGAAAGGGGACGGGGACGGGGAAGGGGAAGGGAGAGGGAACGGGGATGGGGAGGGGGAAAGTGAAGGATCCAACCCATGCGGGAGTCAGGAATCAGGAGAAGGGGGCCGTGAAAGGGGAGGGGGGTTCTTGGGGTCAGTCAGAGTCGAAATTGGTGTGGGAAAATGCGGCGACTTTTGAGTCGACTCAAAAGTCCTCTTGGGGTCAGTTAGAGTTGAAATTGGTGTGGGGAAATGCAGCAGAGGACACGGAGGAAGCGGAGGAAGCAGAGGAAGCGGAGGAAGCGGAGGAAGCGGAGGAAATGGAGGTGGAGGAGGTGGAGGAGGTGGAGGAAGTGGAGGAGGTGGGGGATGTGCAGCGGGCAGGTGTCAAAAAGGGTTACCATGAGGCACCTCGAAACGCGGCGGTGCTCGAAGCGGCGGAGGTGGGGGACGTAGAGGAGGCGGGGGAGGTAGAGGAGGTGGAAGAGGCAAAGGAAGTGAAGGAAGTGGGGGAAGTGGGGGAGGCGGAGCTGGCAGTTGGCGAAGGCGGTCTCTATGCGGTGGAAGAGGTGGTAGAGTCGGCGAAGGCGGAGGAGGCGGAGAAAATGGCGGAAGGAGTTGGCGCTGCAGGGAATGTGGGGCGGCAGAAAATGTCGGTAGCAGGGAAGGGAGGGGGGGGACGGGGGCGGGGACGGGGACGCGGACGGGGGCGCGGACGGGGGTGGGGGCGGGGCGAGAGTCGGAGCCTGCAGAAGGAGGCAGCTTGGGCGGGGAAGGTAGGGGGGGCGGAGGAACTGGGGGGGGTCGGGAGGGTGATGGCGGAGAGGGAGGGCGGAATGTCAGCGGAAGGGGAGGGGGGGGGGAAGGCGACGGGGAGGGAGTGGGGAAAGATAGTAGTGGAGGAGGAATTTGAAAACACAGGAGAGGCTGAAAAACCGAAGTGCGAGTTTGTGGATCTAACTGAGGAGGAGGAGGGGAACGAGGAGCGGGAGGAGGAGGAGGAGGGGAAGGAGGAGCGGGAGGAGGAGGAGGAGGGGAAGGAGGAGCGGGAGGGGGTCAAGGAGAAGGAAAGGGGAGCCGAGAAGATGGAAGGGAGCGAGGAGAAGGAGCGGGGCGAGGAAAAGGACTGGAGCAGGGAGAAAAAAGCGTGTGGGGATGAAGAAACGGTGGTGAACGTGGGGTTGTATACAGAGGTGGAAGAGAAAGGGGGTATGGAGGTGGAAGAGAAAGGGGGTATGGAGGTGGAAGAGAAAGGGGGTATGGAAGTGAAAAGGGGGAAAACTAGTGTTGTGGGTATGGTGGAGGTGGAAGAGGGGAAAGGAGAAGGAATGAGAGAGGCGAGCAAGCAAGGGAAAAAGGAGCTGAAGGAGGGGAAGGGGCAGAGGAAGGAGGAGCAGCGGGAAATGGGAGCACAGGGGAAAAAGCGTGAGAAGGGAGGGCAGGTTAAGCAGTCTGAGCGAGGAGGGCAGGGCAGGGTTACCAGGTTACTGCGTAACAGCACGGTGCTGAAGAGAGTGGAAGTGGAGCAGGGCGGTGGGCGGCACAGCGGGCGGCAGAAGCAGATGGAAATGGAAGGGGGAGGGGAGTGTGAATGGGTGGGAGAAGGGGAGGGGGAAGGAGAGGGGGAAACAAAAGGGGAAGGGGGGGCTGCAGAGTCAATGAGAAAGGGTGAACCTTCTGATTCGATTTTTGAGGCGCCTCAAAAGGAGTGGAACATGGGAAAGAAGGCTGCAGAGGCAATGGGGGAAGATAAACCCTCTGGTACGTGTTTTGAGTCAACTCAAAAGACGACTTGGTACATGGGGAAGAAGGCTGCAGAGGCAATGAGAAAGGGTGAACCTTCTGATTCGATTTTTGAGGCGCCTCAAAAGGAGTGGAACACGGGGAAGAAGGCTGCAGAGGCAGTTAGGGAAGATAAACCCTCTGGTACGGCTGGCAAAATGGGCGACATGCGAGCAGAGGTGACTTTTGAGTCGACTCAAAAGTCACCTCGTGCAGCTGGCAAAATGGGCGACATGCGAGCAGAGAAGGGACAGGAAGCTGCTGTGAAGGAGTCTGGGGCGGCTGGAAGTGCGGAGGAAGCTGCAGGAGGGACTGGGACGAAGAGTGTGCGGAAAGGTGGGGATAGTGGGGGGAGGACGAGGGGGCGTGGGGCGAAGGGAGAGGGAAAGAGTGAGGGGAGTAGGGGTAAGGTAGGGGGGAGTGGGGCAAGTAGGGGAAGCGGAAGGAGGGGATTGGGGAGGAGAGGAGGAGAGGTAGGAGGGGAAGGAGGAGGTGAGCTGGGAGGGGAAGAGGGGGGAGACATGGGAGGGAAAGGAGGAGGAAATGGAGCAGGAGAGGAGAGTGACAAAGTGGGAAGAGAGGAGGAGAGGGAAGGGTTGGGGGAGAGCGAAGGCATGGGGGGAGTAGAGGAGAGTGAAGAGAGCGAGGGCATGGGTGAAGGAGAGGAGAGCGAAGAAAGCGAAGGCATGAAAGGTGAGGCGGGAGGGAGGAGAGGGAGGAGGAGGCGGAACGCGTACATTGCAGAGCTGGTGGAGGCGGAGAGGAGAGAGGGGATGCACATGGGAGAGGATGAGTATGAGGACTTGGATGGGTTTATCGTGTTTGAGAAAGACAAGTATGAGCGAGGCGAGTATGTGTCTGCTGTCGCTGTGGCGTGGCGAGAGGCTGCTGAAGGCTGGAGGCATGCAGACGAAGGGCTGATCCCATAAGATGAATAGTAAAAGAAAGGGGGGGATGAGGGGTGGGGTGCGGAGGAGGATAAGTATGATCAAGACGAGTATTGTGTCTGCTGTTGCTGTGGCGTGGAGGCAGGCTGCTGAAGGCTGGAGGCACGCAGGAGAAGGGTTGATCCCATAAGAGAAATAGTGAAAGAGGGGGGTGAGGGGTGGGGTGCGGAGGAGGGGGGTGGGAAGGACATGAGAGGGGACTAGTAAGAGGCCCTGGAGGGGCGGGTTGTGTTGCACGGGGAACTAGTGAGTCGACTCAAAAAGATTGGGGAGTGGAGGAGGGGGGAACGACATGAGAGGGAATGAGTAAGAGGACCTGGACGGGTCTGCTTTTGAGGGCCTGGAGGGTATGATCGACTTAGAAGTAGAGGGGATGAGTACGTATGCGGACCTGGACGGGTGAGTTTTGTTGCACGGGGAACAAGTGAGTCGACATAAAACGGGCGGGGAGCGGAGGAAGGGAACAACATGGGAGGGGGGAGTACGTTACGTAAGAGGACCTGGACGGGTGGGTTATGTTGCACGGGGAACTAGTGAGTCGACTAAAAAAGGATGGGGAGCGGAGGAAGGGAACAACATGGGAGGGGGGAGTACGTTACGTAAGAGGACCTGGACGGGTGGGTTATGTTGCACGGGGAACTAGTGACTCTGACTTCCTTCTTTCCCTTCTCCCTCTGACTTAAGAGGGAAGGAATCCCTCGCTCTCTCCTCTCCCTCCTTCCTTCCCCCTAACTTGCCTCCCCTCAACTACCTATGTTTATCGAATATCCTTAGTGTATGGTGTCTGTAGTGTTTCCCTGTTTCGATGCTGATGTTGACAAACCGGCAGAATAGCCAAGTGTAGTCCAGTCCAGAACAATTCGTTGAGCATATGTGTCCAGGTTACAATTGTACTGATTCTTTTTTGCTGTTCTCCACATGTGATTTGACGTGGCAGTTGTATGGGGCACAGTGTAAAGCGGACAAAAGAAAAAACCCCCTCTTTCAAAGCAAATGTGATGTACAGTAGAATTCAACAATTTACAATTCCAGGTGCTTGCATCACCTGCCTAACCCACCCTCTCTCCCCCACCACTGCTTGCTGCAGTGAAATGGGTGCCGTGTAGACACACACACAAACAGGCACACACAGCCACACACACACACACACACACACAGCCACACACACACACACACAGCCACACACACACACACAGCCACACACACACACACAGCGCCACACACACACACACAGCGCCACACACACACACACAGCCACACACACACACACACAGCCACACACACACACACAGCGCCACACGCACACACACAGCCACACACACACAGCGCCACACACACACACACACCCACACACACACACACACACACCCACACACACACACACAGACACACACACACACAGACACACACACACACACACACAGCCACACACACACACACACACACACAGCCACCTCTCTCTCTCTCCCGTGCCTTCACCCGTCCCCAAGAAACACATCCCTCCCTTCGTTTCAACATCCTATACACCATTGCTCCCCTTTCACGCCTGTCTCCTGTACCACTCGCCCTCCACTTCCTCAAAGCCCCCATTCGCCCCCCAAGAGGCAGTGATCCGCTTCACCTCGCCCTCTCCCACCACCCACGACGCCGACAGCACAAACGGCCTGCCTGCCACCAGCTGCGGCGAGAGAGGGGCGCACACCACCACCCCGTGGGGCAGAGCAACGACCGTGTAACGGTCCTCATCTCCCTCCGGCACTCGCCCCATAAAGCCAGCTGCTGCTGCTGCTGCTACAGCATTTTTAGCTGAAGCAGTGTCACCAGCAGCAATGGCGGCAGCAGCGGCAGCGCTGTTAGGGCCCCATTCTTCCGCCCAAGACACGTCCTCCCGCTCCTGAACCATCAGGTTGCGAGTCAGAACGGTGCGAGCTCCCACCACTGTCTTGTCATCTAGTGCCGGAACAGGCGGCAGGTGGTCGGGCAGACGGGACGGGACGCCGCCCGGGCCCCACGTGGGCCAGACCCAGTCGGAGGGGCGGCGTTCGTTGGTGTCTAGTGAGTCCTCTACCACCACGAAGGCACGCAATGCTCCTTCCGGATTGTATCCCACCATGCAGCCAAAACGAGACGTGGGGGCTGGAGAGCAAGCAAACAGAAGAAATGCGAATGGGTAGAATCATTGAGCACTATAAATATGTACGGCGGTACTGGTGTCTACGGCGCCTCACAGTTCGTTTCAGATACTCCCCGAACCCTAGGACTGGCTGGAATGCTCCATTGTCTGCAAACCCAACCATGTTGCTGATAAGGCTGGCAAACACAAGGAACTGAGAGTTGATATGCAACCAGGGACAGAGAAGCAAGGCAAAACAGACAATCGAACAATAAAAAAACAAAACAAAACACACACATAGAGAGAGAGAGAGAGAGAGAGAGAGAGAGAGAGAGAGAGAGAGAGAGAGAGAGAGAGAGAGAGAGAGAGAGAGAGAGATTGGGTGCCCATGCCCCGAGTCGGTAGACTTCCTGAAGCTACTCGCAGAGACGGCTGCACGGCGTTTTTTCAACGCCGAGCCATCCTCCTACCAAGCTGCCAAGCTCTTACATCAATATCGGCAGCGGTGGTCGGTGGCTCTTCAAAGGGGGCAGTCGGTTGGGTACCTTGAGAAGTGCAACATAGCAGCAGCAGTAGAAAACCCACTACTAGAGGCAGCGGGTGAGGCCCCGTCCCTTGGGGAATGCCTCTCGGTTCTTGATCCTGCGCTGGATCTTCCTTAGAGGGTGTTGAGCTGAGGAGTGAGTAGGAAGTGTAATATGTGTTAGCCCTACGTGCGTGATACCTATACCTTGCATGCTTGTTCACCTTGACTATCAATGAAAGGGCCATTAGAGAGAGAGAGAGAGAGAGAGAGAGAGAGAGAGAGAGAGAGAGAGAGAGAGAGAGAGAGAGAGAGAGAGAGAGGGTGAACAACGAGGAAAACAACGACAACGACAGTAAATGCCCTCTTCCGCAGGAGCCGCTTCCAGACCCTGTAAACTCAGACGCTCTGAAAAATATGAAAAAGAAGAAGAAAAAGACGAAATCCACCAGCAGAGGGAGCTCGTCTTGAGGCACCCAAAAAACAAACGAGCTTTCCTTCTCTGTGAGCAATCAAGTTGAGAGATCGAGGCGGTCGCTTCAGCCATGACTCACTGAGGGAGAAGAAGAACGTCTCCAGGAATGACAGCTTGATGCCGCCCACCCCATCCCCCACCTCCAGAGGCGCCCAGACGCGATGCCCGCCTTCCTGCTACGAGGTAAGTTGGGAGGCTGTACCAGCAGCAAGGAGCACTCACTGTAGGGCAAGGCAGGGCAGGGCCGACTCACTGTGGGAGAAGAAGAACTCCTCCAGGAATGGCACCTTGATGCCGCCTTTTGAGACGTCTAAAAAGTCGTCTACTCACTGTGGGAGAAGAAGAACTCGTGGTTTGAGTCAACTCAAAACACAGCAAGGAGTACTCACTGTGGGAGAAGAACTCCTCTATGAATGGCAGCTTGATGCCGCCCACCCCATCCCCCACCTCCAGAGGCCCAAATACACCGTCCCCCTCCCGGCTGACAGCGTGGCGGCGCGCTGTGCTGACTGCCACGTGGTAGAATCCGTCTGGCAGGCTGTGTTCTGCGAGCGACATGTCATACTGGACGCCTGACGGCGGCGGAAACTCGGGCACCTCGCCTTGCTCGTCATAGAAGTCGTTCTGGGGTAGCGTGGTGGCATGGTATGGTACGGTATGGTATGGTATGGTATGGTATGGTATGGTATGGTATGGTATGGTATGGTATGGTATGGTATGGTATGCGTTGGGATGGTAGCAATGGTGTCACGAGAAAGAGGCAGAGAGAGGCGGGAGAGAGCAGAGAAGGGAAGTGGCGTCTGAGTGGGAGTGCGTCAGAGTGCGTGGAAAAACGACAAGGAAGAGGAGAATGGAAGCTAGGTGCGGGGAAACAAGGGGAGTTGCGGGGGGAAAGGGGAGGGGCAGAGGGAGGGGAGTGGGAGAAGGGGAGGGGGGGGCTTTAGGCGAGATGGGGAAAGGAGTTTGTGCGAATCACCATGTGAGCATAGCTGCTGCGATCGGGTGACGTGGCCCAAAATTTCCGATCACGTCTGTTGATTCGAGAGGCTTCCAACATCGCCATTGGCCGTGCCAGTTGGTCATAAGGCGCTCCGGCGTGGCCCACCGCCAGTGCTCCTCCGGACTCATCTGCCGGAACGGGGCCGTTTCCCCACCGTCAGATGATGTCATGGATGATGCGGACGTGGGCGGTGCTGGTGCTGTCGTGGACGGTGCTGGTGCTGACGTGGACGGGCCAGCGTGGGGGTTCCCAGAGCAGAACACGTGTACAGCGGTTGATGCGCCACATTTACCTGAGCCCGGAAGGGCAAAAGAAGAAAGAAATTGATTTAAAATAGAGGATCAGAGAGATTAACTGTGCAGATTCGAGGTAATCAACAATCTGGCGAGTAATATTACCTATTAGTAATTGCTTTTGGAAGGTGAACGGGCCAAGATGACTGAAAATATTACATATATACCTGTCAGGCTCGAGCGCTTGGTAGATCTTCCGATCAACGCAGATCGTCCGATCAACGCAGATCGTCCGATCAACGCAGATCGTCCGATCAACGAAGGCCCAAGTCCCCGACGAGAGACGGCAATTCTTGCAGCACCGTCGGAGAAGGTAGCAGCAGCGACGGCTGCAGCGGTGCTGACGGACATGGTGGCTTTGGATTGAGGCGAAGCACTTGACACAGACTGTGACTACATGTACACGAAAGCTTGTAATCTGGTGAAGGTGGGTTCTGACAAAGTCTGGTTGATGATTCGCGGATGGGTGATGCTGTGCTGTATGCTTCCCGTCCTTTTGAAGGTTGATTTTTTTTTTTTTTTTTTTTTTTTTTTTTTGGGTTGCGAAGCAAACCTTTACGATCGATTTTGCCAAATTTTTATTTTTATATATATTAATTTCAAATAAAAATGAAAATAAATTTCATAAACTACAGTACCCTTCCCATACTGTGCATAATGAGTAGTTGTCAATACTGTTCACAGTACATCAAACCATATGATTTTTTTATCATGTGTTTTATGCAGATATATTATACTGTTTGTATTATATGTGTTACTATTAAATGGTGTTGTAGTAATGATAAATAAATGCATGTGCATAAAATAATGCTATAGGATGCATAATGTTTAATATGATATGTCACGAATCATGATGCACATGCATGCACATAATAAAATGCGTGACAGTCAACGACCCAAAAACTAAGCTACCGCTATCCCCTGCCTAGCACAGGGGGAAGGTCAATAGCACAGATTTTGAATAATCAACTATCACATGAAACAACACAATCTGTAAATCCTAAAAAAATGGTCAACCCTATCAAATCCAGTTCGAAGTGGCAATACGCGAGTCACTTTGTGCGCCAATGAACCTTTTCTGAAATGATAGACCTGAGCCATCTTTTTAAAATTCGCAGACATGCATTATTGATGCAATGATGTGTCAAACTTATATGCTATAGTCTATCTAGGCTGTAGTGGGGTAGTTCATATAGGGTACATCACTTTTAGGTTTCCTACTTGTACCCACCTGCTTCCTAGTTCATTTATTCCGTTCCTTATTCTAACATGGTATCAGAGCAGGTTCCCTCGTGGGAACGTTTTTTTTAGGGCCCACCACGAACTTAATTTTTCCTGCCCTGCCAGAAGCGCGCCTCGCGCCTGCCTTACGTGCGCCGTCGCGCGCCCTTCCCTAGCTGGCCCGTCGTGGCCCTGCCTCAGCCGGCTCGTCCCGGCCCGTAGCTGCCCGTCGCTGGCCCGTCGCCACGCGTCGCGGCCCTGCCTTAGCCGCCCACTGCGGCCCCGCGCTCGCCCGTCGCTGGCCCGTCCCGGCCTGTCCCGGCCAGTCTCGGCCCGACCCGGCCCGTCCCGGCCCTTCTCGGCCCGTCCCGGCCCGTCCCGGCCCATCGCCGGCCCGTCCCGGCCCCTTTGCCGCCCGTCGTCGGCCCGTCGCCGCCCGTTGTCGGCCTGTTCGCCGCCTGTCGCGGCCCGTTCGCAGCCTGTCGTCGGCCCGTTCGCCGCCCGTCGCGGCCTCTGCCCTGCAGCCGCCCGTCGTCGGCCCGTTCGCCGCCTGTCGCGGCCCTGCCCTGCAGCTGCCCCCTGTCGCGGCACTGCCCTGCTGCCGCCCCAGTCGCGGCCCTGCCTTCGCCGCCCTTTGCGGCCTCTGCCCTGCAGCCGCCCCTGTCGCGGCCCTGCCCTACTGCTGCCCCGGTCACGGCCCTGACCTAAACCGCCAGCTGCGGCCCTGCCCTGCACCCGCCCCTGGTAAGCACCCGCGCTGCCCTGCCGCGCCGCGCCGCCTGCTGCCGCGCCGCGCCGCCTGCTGCCGCGCCGCGCCGCCAGGAACCGAGCCGCGCCGCCCTGTCGAGCCGCGCCGCCCAGCCGAGCCGCGCCACCCCACAGAGCCGCGCCGCCCAGCCAAGTCGCGCCGCACTGCCGAGCCGCGCTGCTATTCTGCTGCCACTACTGCTACTGCTGCTACTGCTGCTGCTACTGCTGCTACTGCTGCTACTGCTGCTATGGCTAGCCCTACTGTTCTCACCTTTGATGCTGAGGGGCGTGCAGTTGACTTTGACGTGTGGGTTGACGACCTGCAGCTCTTTCTTCAGTGTGACTCTAGGGATGGGGTATCCCTGTTCGATCACACGTCCGGTGTCTCTACTGCACCTGGTGCCACTGCTGACAGTACGGTTCGCTCGCAGTGGACCACTCGTGACGCTGTTTCTCGCCTTGCTGTTCGTAGTCACCTGCCGCCTGCTGAGCGCGCGCATTTTGGCTAGTACAAGACCGCTCAGTCCTTGTACGACGCTGTAGTTGCTCGCTACTCTTCCCCTGCCACTGCTGCCCTCAGTCGCCTCATGCTGCCGTACCTTTTCCCTGACCTTGCCGCCTTTGCCACAGTCGCTGACCTCATTACTCACCTCCGCACTAGTGACGCCCGCTACCGCGCTGCCCTTCCCACTGAGTTCAGTGCCAAGAACCCCCCCCCCCCCCCCCATGTACATCACCCTTTACTACCTAGTCACCCGCCTCCCTGACTCCCTTTCGTCAGCCAGGGACCACTTTCTCTCCCTTTGCCCCACCGAACTCACTGTCGACGTGCTAGAGGAGCGCCTCACTGCGGCTGAGAAGAGTATCTTAGCTGTAGGTGCTTATCGCGGCGACCGTCGCATCCCTTTCTTTGAGGGGTGTTCCCCTGTCCCCCTTCTCCCCTCTGTTGCTTCTGCTTCTGCTATCGACCTCGTTGGCACTGAGGAGGTCGGTGCTGCGTTTGCTCCTAGTGGGAGGCGCCGCAACAGCAAGGGCAAGGGGAGCAAGGGTGGTGGAGGGGACGGCGGGGGCGGCGGCGGAGGCGGTGGAGGAGGCGGAAGGGGTGACGGTGGAGGTGGGGGTGGTGCCGGGAGTGGGGGCGTCAGTGGCGGCAGTGGAGGTGGTGGCGGCAGCGGCAGCGGTGGTGGTGGCAGCGGCAGCGGTGGTGGAGGTGGCGGCGGCGGTGGTGCTGGTCGAGGTGCAGCCGCGCAGCGTGGAGGCTTTGGTGGTAACCAGCGACAGCAGCAGCCGCGTTCCCGTGAGACCCCGTCGGCCCAGCAGCTTCGTGAGTGGTACGCTGGGCGTGGGAGGTCTGGGGGTGCTGGTCCCTGCACTTACGTTCTTCGCACCGGCGGGCGCCGTGGGGAGACGTGCGGGCTGCCACACACTGTGCAGCACTGCTTCGGTCGCCTGACTGATGCCTGGCGCGCCCAGTTTCTTGACGCTGTTGAGCTCCCTCGCTGGGGTGATCTGCTTAAGCAGAATGTTGCTATCTTTGATCTTGATTTCGATGCTATCCTTGCTACCATGTATGCTGTGACTGATAGTGCTGAGGGTGACTGTTACCTGAGTGTTTCGCCCGACCCGGGCATTGAGGCTGCTGCTCTGGGTGCTAGTGCGTCTGCTGCTCCAGGTACTGGTGAGTCTGCTGCTCCAGGTGCTGGTGAGTCTGCTCTCTCTGGTACTGCACCTACTGAGGCCTTGCACACTTTCACACTTGACTCTGGTGCTTCGCGTTCTTTCTTTCGCGACAGCACCACACTCACGCCGCTCAGTCGGCCTGTCGCAGTCTCCCTGGCTGACCCCTCTGGGGGCCCAGTCCTTGCGCACTCTTCCACGGTTTTACCGTGTCCTGCGGCCCCGTCGGGCTTGCTGTCGGGACTCCACCTCCCCTCGTTCTCTACGAACTTGGTGAGTGGAGCTGACCTCCAGGACGCATGGGTTGACCAGTTCACCCCTGGAGGTCAGTGTGTGACCCACTGCACTTGCTCTCGGACGGGCCGCCACCTGGCCACGTTCACCCGTCGGCCTGGGTCGAGTCTGTACACACTGACTACTGCTTCTCCTCCGGCCACTGCGTCTGGTCAGGTAGCCGCGTCGAGACAGGTGTTTGCTGCCGCGTCCAGGTCCAGTCCAGCGTCTGCCCCCTGCTCGTGTCGTCCTCTGTCACACGCGACTCTCCTTTGGCACCACCGCCTTGGTCACCCCTCCCTGCCTCGTCTTCGAGGTATGGCCTCCCGTACCCTTGTCTCGGG